TTTCTTGGATCAGATAGAACAAGTTTTGCCAACCAGTGTTTAACTAATTCTAAAGAGTTAAAAATTAATAGTTTCATAATAACGTTGGATAGGGTTTTAGTTGTAGTAGATTTGTTTAATGTTTGGTTTGTGGTAGTTGATATTAACGTCACTTTTGGATATTTATGATACCAAAAATGCATCATACATGATGAACAGAAAAGTTAAGAAACTACTAGATATTGCTAGTGAAACAACTTGTTGTAATTATCACTCAACTAATTAATCAGAGTAAATAATATGGACTATAGAAGAAAAAAACTACGTGATCTAACATCCAAAAGAAAATAAAGTGGAGAAATCAATTTACCAAACTAATTATATTCTACGAATCAAGATGCAAACGTCAAAGATGTTATATCAACTGAAGGAGAGAACAAGCAGTAGACGATAAGATAACCAACCATAATACAAGAAACAGATCTAATAATCTAACACAAGGCTAAGAAAACACAGAGAACATGATTTGTTATGTCATAAGAAATTCGTTTTTTTTGTACATATTTTTTGTAACAATGTCAGGAATTCAAATTGTCTATTTAAAGAAACAGTATTTTTCTCATTCAACATTACAGTTGAATTTATCTACAATAGTCATAATCTATAACATGGAGCCACAAGTCACTATTTACTTTAACAATCGCATATACCGCTTAGAAACACTCTTATAATTTTCTGTAATAGTAACTCAATGTGCAAAAAAAAAGTAACTCACTGTGCTACTTTGCCTTGGTAACAAACTAAAAACTTGAGGATTTTGATAAACTATAGTTATGAACTTCTAAATCTACAACCTATTAAAGAATACTACGATTCCTATTAACCGAAACAGAACTTTAGATTGAAGAGAATATCAGAGCACCTAGAAAATCAAGAAAGATCAATTGTATAATCTAACTACATACAATGATTCAAAAGATTTTCATCAACTGTGTAAGACTAGGAGACTAAGGGATAGGCTGTAACAATTATAGAATGTAACACAGCATATGAGAATTCTGAACTTGTCATTTCACATGTTTAGAAATAATCACAGAGCGTTTAGAGAAATAAAGCAAAACTAAACATTCAAGATTAAATAAAACTATTACCACAAGTGGCAGGATACATACAAGCACCAAAGTAACAATATAAACACAATAAAATAGACCTTCTCATGAATGGATATATTATCAATCAGTTCCTAGAATCCTACAGAATAGTACAACACAAATTAATTGTTAGTAAGAATATTCAGAAACATTTCTGATGCTTAAATGGTATTTTCTTATAATTATATATCACTTGATGTTTTCAAGGATGAACAAGCATTGATTTTTACAATCTCACGAATACTAGACCAATGGCAAAAATGTTGGCTAGACTCAGAAACCAAGGGATGGACTTGATAACAGAGAAAATTGCAATCACTGTTATTGAAAAAAACGTCAACCTACGTACTATGCAGAGTTGTGGAGAAGTCATTTCACATGTTTACAGTGATCACTGAGGGTCAAGCGTATAACACAAAGCAGAAACATTCAAGATTCAGGAAACTACGACCACATTTTGCAAGAGTCTATCACCTACTTTGATCACTAGTTTAGAATAGTAACATTTTCTAATCAACATATAGATTACAACACAGTTTAGAAATGATCACTGAGAGTAAGAGGAGCATAACACAAAACAGATAACATTCAAAATTCAATGAAACTACTCAAACAATCTATAGGTGTTTTGCCTGTTGATCTACAAGAGACTCTAAAACTATACCGAATCATAAAAAAGAGACCTTAAAATAAATAAAAGCACCGACGAAAGAAATACTAACACCGTTTAGAATTATCACTGAGGATTAAGAGCATGACACAAAACAGAAACATTTCTCAAGATTAAAAAAACTGATACACCAACATGATGGTATCTCTCACATATGTTGATGATCTACCAGAGAATCCAAGATACATCAATTTCATATGTTGATGATCTACCTTATAATACATACAAGCACCAAAATAAAGAGATTCTAACACGTTTAAAATGACCACTAATTGTTAAACGCATGACAACGCATGACACAAATCAAAAACATTCTAGATTCAAAGGAAATATTACCACAGTTTGCAGGAGTTTCTAACCTACGTTGATCAACAAGAGACTCGAAGGCACATAAATCTCATAACAACAAAGGACCTTATTACAAGCACCAAATCAAAGATAATAAAGATTGAACACTGTAATTCTGTAAACACAATGTAATGTTCCAATATTGAAAAAAAGGAATCTACTTACTAATCAATGGATATGTTAGCAGACAGTTTCTAGAATCTCATAGATGCTAGATCACTGAGAGAAATGTTGTCAAGAAAGCTTGATAAAACATTATTATTTCAAAATGGAGCTTTCCAATTTTTTTTACCTGTACGCATATATCACTTAGTTTGTATTCATTCATACGTAATAACATCAATTTGTAAGAGAAAAAAAGTGAAGAAAACATATACCTGAACAAAAATCCTTAGCGCCAATGAGGATATGAACAGTTTGCGAAGCACATACCTGAAAAAATATAACACGTCTTGACTTAATGTCAGTCTCTCCTGCTTGTGATTTTCATAATTGCATCAACTGTAAGTCTATAAGTAACAAACAAGTTTTGAAAAGCACACCTGTCAAAGAAAACCTCGTTCACTTGAAAGCACAATGTCTTCTATCTCTGTGAAGCGTGATGCGACCTGGTCTTTGTCAGACACCATTTCCTTCAAACACTGGCTTCCATAAACCTATCAGTTCTTCCTTCTTTAGCTCTCTTAGTGCAGCCACCTAACCACAGAACCAGCACCCCCAAGTTACTTATAAAAGTTTGTCGGGAGAAGATTAAAGTCAGAGACTCTCTGTTCAAAGATAACTTTGGAGGATTCATATGGTACCTCTTCATCTATGCGGTTGAATTTGAATGTCCCGTTTTGAATCTCTTCCCAGTAAACGTAAGATTCCTCCAACAAGTTCTTTGTGTTTCTCATGCTTCATGTCTATCAAAGCTGTTACATTACTCTAAGTAGAAAGTCATGTCAGTTACTAATAGGCTTAACGGTGAAGCTGTGGTGTCTATTAAGCAAAGTAAATATGATTCTATATAGTATATAGTTAGCCCATCTTACCTTGAATTCCTCATCACTTAACTTGTAAATGTTACTCTCAAGATCCTTGAGTGGTGACTCCACCCTTGAATCAATATGTCCAGGACCCTATCAACAATAAACACAAAAGGCAATTAAGAAATTTTCTTGAGTGGAAAAGAGGCAAGAAAAGTTGGTACCTTAACTGAAGACTGGATTATGAAGTGTACACCATAGACACCAGAGTAGTTGCTGTGTTATGCATCAAACATAGTATAACTCAGTGATATTGTTCAAACACAAAAAAAAAGGAAAGAAAGAAAAAAAAGCTTCATACCTCTGAGAAAGTGAAGTGATGATGTAACCAAGTTTCTCCACCGTTTTAAGCTGGTAAAAAGTGGCTTGCTTTGCGATGAGACGGAAAAGCTGAAGTTTACTATTCAAGTTGAATTCATCTTGATGAACCTGTTCATAAAAAAGAGTTCTTAAGTATCAAGATCCACAAGAAAAGCTTTATAAAGACATGCAAAAACTTGTTTAGTACAAATAGGGCAGAGTTTTCATCACTGGGGTTTGATCCTTCTTGATGGAAATAAAGGACGAGAAATAGGTTTTGGGTCGTTAAAAAGAACATCTTCAATATGCTTCACCATGGACTCAGCTTCATTCTTCTCAACGTTTCCTAAAAAGAAACGTAATTAAATGTAGAAAGAACTAGAACACACGACATATATATATAAACAAAACAAAAGAAATTAGAGACCAAAGTAACCAATCATACAAACAGGATAAGATTGGTACCTGCTATGTAGCACTCAACAAAAACAGCATTGGAACGAAACTCTCCTGCTTGTGACTTTCATGATTGTATCAACTATAACAAGTAACAAACAAGTTTTGAAAAGCACATACCTGTAAAAGAAATCTGATACACACTTGAAATCATCTTTGTGTCTTCTGAAGCACATACAAAACCTGGAGAATTCATAACTAATTAGTCTTTAATGACGCAAAATGAATCAAGTTTTGGTTCATAGTATTAAGAGTTGTCGTTAGTAAGGACTCTGTTTTTGATTCATAGTGTCTTTGTTTTAAACTCTTTTCAGTCGTTCTCTTTTGTCTAGTGATTTTAAGTCTCTGTCTCAAGACTTCTCTGAAGCCGTTGGTTTATGTGTAGCAATATTGTCTAAAGGCTTCATAAGCCGTGGGTATTCAGTATTCACAGTCCTTGTCTGAAGGCTCTTCACAAAGCCCTTGGTTTTAGTAGTCTAGACTTCATAAGCCGTTGGTTGTAGTAATACTTTCTAGACTCTTCTTAAGCCGTGTGTACTTAAATGAATCCAACCTTTTATAAGCCTGTGGGACTATCTGTTTTTTCAACTGATAGTCTTTGCTTTAAGACGTTCTTCTGAGCCGTAGGTACTTTTCACTCTCTCAGGTCGTTAATAACAGTCTTTGTCTAAAGACTTGTTTGGTGCTAAAGTTTTGTCATACTTAGCATCCCAAAACATCTTTTTTTGCTTCATAGAGACGTGGGTAAAACCAGCCTCTGTCTTAATTCTTAACTTTTGCAAAGCCGTGGGTACAAATGTGATGAAGAAGTTTTCAGTCACAGTCTTGTCTGAAACCATTCTGTCTACAGGCTTGTTTTTAAGCCGTTTTTGTCCCACTTTGCATCCTCAAAAATGCTTTGCTTCACATAGTTGTGGGTATGAACTAAGAAGCAAGGGATCTGGTTTAGATTTAGAGAAGTCTTTGTCTGAATCCCTCTCTCAAACCGTAAACCAATACTGCCTAAAACCCCTTTAATAAAAAGTCGTGGGTAGCAAGATTTTCCAGTTACATTTCGTAACTTGGTCTTTTTCTAAATGAATCCTTCCAACAATCTCATGGCCCATGTAAAACTGTAAGCCTTCGGTCTAATAAAGACAATCGTTTTCTGTCTTCAGATTTTCTTTCTTAAGCCTTTTTCCGTAAAGCCGTGGGTATTGCTAATGTGATGAATACAAATTCAATCACAATCTCTGCCTAAAGATCTTTCTTGCAAGCCGTGGGTACTAACGTAATGAAGAAGTTTTCACTCACAGTCTTTGTCTGAAGACCTTTCTTGCAAAGCCTTGGGTACACACGTGATAAAGACTTTTGTTTTTATTCACAGTCTTTGTCAAGAGACTTTATTGCAAGCTGTGGGTACATAATGTGCTGAGAAAGTTTTCAAACACAGTCTGTCTAAAGACTTTTTTTTCAAGGCTTTGTCTTACAACTTTTCATAAGCCGTGGGTACTGCTAATGTGATGAATACAATTTCTTTCAATCACAGTCTGTCTAAAAACCTTTATCGCAAAGCCGTGGGTACAAGTACGTGATAAAGACTTTTCATTCACGGTCTGCGTCTAAAGACCTTTTTTTAGCAACCCTTTGTCTTAATGCATCTGTTTTCAGTTACAAGCCTCTTGTCTTACAACTCTTTCATAAGCCGTGGGACAAACCCCCTTGTGATCGTTAATCACTCGCAACGGGACTCTCGATCGGGACAATTAGTTTTCATCACTTGTGGTCGTTATTTCCATCCAACAAGCTGAAAACCAATTTATAGCCTCTGTCTTAATGCATCCAGTTACACACTTTTGTCTTACAACTTTTCATAAGCCGTGGGTACTGCTAATGTGATGAATACAATTTCTTTCAATCACAGTCTCTGTCTAAAAACCTTTATCGCAAAGCCGTGGGTACAAATACGTGATAAAGACTTTTCATTCACAGTCTGTGTCTAAAGACCTTTTTTGGGCAACCCTTTGTCTTAATGCATCTTTTTTCAGTTCAAGACTTTGTCTTACAACTTTTTCATAAGCCGTGGGTACAAACAAACCCCCTTTGTGATCATTATTTTACTCGCAACGGGACTCGGGACATAGCTATTTTCAGTCTATAAAGACTAGCCTTTGTCTTAAGGCATCTCTTTTCAGTTCAAGACTTTGTCTTACAACTTTTTCATAAGCCGTGGGTACAAACAAACCCCCTTGTGATCGTTATCTCACTTGCAACGGGACTCGGGACAATTAGTTTTCGAAACTTGTGGTGTTATTTCCATCCAACAAGCTGAAAACCAATTCATAGCCTTTGTCTAAAGACTCTTTTTTTTAAGCGGATGGTTCTTTTTTTAAGCCGTGGGTACTTAAGTATGTTGGGTTCTACTTTCCAGCCCCAAACATCTCTTGCTTAGTGATAACACTACCAACAGTGGTTCAAGTTTTCTCTGGGTCCAAACTTTTCACGCAACAGGGACTTGGGACAATGTCCCTAAATAAGAATCTGGCAAAACACTATGAGATTAGTGTCTGCCTATGATCTTTTTGGGGTTTGATAAAACTAAAACAAAAAAAAAAGTAAGAATCGGCAGTAGTAGAGAAAGAGAACTTATCTGTTTATTTGTTGCTACTTCTTTAGCCGTTGAACTCAAAGAGATTCACACTTGTCAATGGTGGGTTTCTCCACACCCACATACTGTAAACAAAGAGATTAAAAAAAAAGAGGCTAAAGTGAATGACATTACTATTACTTGTACAGTGAAAACAACAACTAAAAGAAACAAGCTTTGAACTCAGAAAATAAATCTGTATCAATATTAGATTACACAAATGTATATTCGCCACTTGTAACTATCATCGACTTGTAGAAAGAATATAATATAAGCAATCAGCACAAGAAAGAATCATTTTATATATAACCATATTCAAGTCAAGATAGAGATAATATCCATAACAGAACATCAACATATGGCTCATGTCAATTGCTAAAATTACAGAATCAGAATCATCCGTACAAGAACAATTCAGAGACAGAGAGTCAACGATGATTCCACTCCAATTCAAGCGCTTTCCAAGATCACAACAACAACAATTAAAGGAACGATTAAGGAAAAACATGAAACCCTAAAAACAAAATCGTGAATTCCCCAACCGATCGCAGAAAACCCTAACACGAGATACGAACGGAACCAAATAACGAATTCACGATTAATCGAGAAATAGAACTTACAATTTTAAGAATGGCGTCAACTTCGTTTGTAAAAGATTTTTTTTTCTCCAGAAATTTCGAGGAGAAAGCCGTAAAAGTAAAGAACCGTTGAAACGTTTCTAATATTGATACAGATTGCATCTTTAAACAACAACAGATACAAAACGCAGCAACGGATACATTTTCAAACGGACGGTGCTCCTTTTTCCACGTGTCATTATTATGGTATAATACAATACAATACACACATTAAACTTTCCCATCGAGTTGTTTGTTTATCCTGTAAACTATGGGTTTCAGTTTCAAACGTAGGTTAACAGTTTTTAATTAGGCTCAACAAAGCCCATTAACGTGCTAAATATTCAACTAGCCTACGCGCTAAACACGATCTAAGTAAAATTTAAATTTTCTTATAGCTTTGTTGTTTGCAAAATAAACTATTAATATTTGTTAAAAATGATTAATATAAAGAACAAAATATAAAATATGACTAATATAATATCATGATCGTCACTATGGTTTCACCAAAATCTTGTTTTCTTTCCACATAAGCTGTCAAGAATCTATTTAACTTAAAATTCAAACCTTATTATAAACCAGATTTCAAACTAGTTGAGCTTTTCTTGAGGAAGAAGCAAATAACCTGTAAAGTTAAAAATATCATAATTGTTCATTTCTGGCATGCTGAATTTGATCACTTATAATCCTTAGTGAAACTTCCTGTCCAAAAATAACCAAAAACCACATCAACAAGATGTACAAAACTTGAGAAGTAACAACTTCAGAAATATATAAACGTTATATGCGTTACAATAAGACTTTAAATTTAAAAGCAAAGACAGAAATGAACATTCAGGAAACAAGACCTCTATTAGCTTATGCTACGCAACTCTACATGAAAGTGTACATATCCGGACGAAATGCTGTCTAAGTACTCTAAGCTTCTCAGTGTCAAGATGTCAAACGATCTGTGTTTAAGTTAAACCAAAAGGAACTAAACTTGTAGTGATGTGTATTCATTCAAAAGATTAACAGACGATATGATTTAGCAATTCTCTACTATGAATCATTAAGGATAGAAGTTGTAAAACTCCAAAAATAAAAACTTTGGCATGACTACAAGTGAAAGTGCATGAAGAAGAGAAAATGAGGATAAAAATGTTTCGTTGATAAACAAACAAACAGAAATGCATACAGAAGAAAAAGCATAGAACAAAAGAGAACGTGACAGCTAAAATTCCCCTAGGGATTAGTTCTGATGTCTGAAACAAAACAAAAAAGCACAACACCAAATGTCTAAGATCAAAAGCCATCATCAAACAACATCATCGAATGACAGAGGAGTTCTGGTGGCTGACAACTTTTTCTTCTGCTCCTCAGCTAGAGCATCAAGCTCTTGAAACTTTCGCTTCAGTTTTAGTGCTTTTTCCTCAGTTTCTTTGAGCATGGCCAAATCTGTAAGCTCTTTCATCTTTTTCGCTTTCACTTGCTCCAGATTCTTCTCCAGCCAATCAACCTTAAATCCTGCATCCTTCACATGTTTGAGTGCAATGTCTGCTTCAGGAAGATCTTCCTAGATAGCTTGTGAAGTGATTGGCACAAAGTCTCAATTAAGCCAAGAAGGGAACTCATGCATGCGCTCCTCAAATGTTGGTTCTTTGCACGAAAATCAACTGCAATGTCAGGGTGCTTTTCAAATATACGCCTCACAGTTCCTACCTGCGAGTGGAGACAGACATGAAAACACATAAGATGTATTATTCTTTGGTCATCAGAATAAATAAAGTATTATACTCGTGAAATTTTTTTTAAAAAAACAATGGGCATGAGCATTGTAGAGTAACAAAAAAACATAAACCATTAATAATGTCTTACTTGAGAAGGAAAAACCTGAAACCCATTGACATCAATGCTTGCCATAATTGATGA